AAAAGTCAGTAGGTGTTTTAGAATTAGATGTAGAGGACAGTCGAAAGCTTCAGAGTTTAAACAGAATTGTTACTCGGTGGTTTTGAAAGGACGAGTTCTAGAGTTCCACAGGGTAAACTCTTTGCAGAGATTACATGTACAGTCCTTCTGGATTGGCAGAACCTCAAGAAACGGTCAAGAATGAAAAGGAATATTCCTCCAGCGACTATGCTGAATATGAAGTCACCAACGTGAAGTGCCAAGAAGACAACAAAGACAACGTACAGTTGATGGGTGTAGAAGAAGAGCTCAAAGTAATGCTTTCTCACCGGGTAAAGCGAGGTAACCCACATCAGTAAACCAGCGACAAGACTGATGACTCCAGGTAAGACGGCGATTCCAATAGCTTTCCACTCAAATATCTGAGAGAGACAGGGAGAAGTTGAAGATGGCATTAGCATAGATGGCGAAGGAATGAAGAATTATATGTTGCAAGAATCTCACAAGATCTAAGAGCCGGCCTTGAATGGTCCATCCAACCACATAACAAAGGCCATGTAAGGAGAAGAAAGCCATGGTGATATGACCAAGCCAAACATGATACCTAGTAGCATGTTCGAAAGGGACATCTATAAGACGGAGGAGAACGGAGCCTCTGGAGACAGGGAGAAACAGGAACACCATACACAACAATCCAATCATCCCAAAACGCAGACCCGTAACCTCCAGGAGAAGAATACTGACCAAGAAGAAGAAGTGGAATGAGAGAGTGAGACAAAGATAGAAAAGATGAAAGGGAGCTTTGAGTAGAACCTTGTATCCTTGGGAAGCACATGGAAGAGAGAAAGAAGGTCAAGATTCCTCAAGGTATAAGCATAGATAGCCCAAAGGAAGAAGACAGAGAAGATGACAATTCCAAGGAACTCAGCGGCAGAAACAACTCCAAAGGGTCCATCCACAAGAAGAGGAAACGTCCATAGCCTAAATCTTGGGAATTTCGATATCTTCTTCCTTGGTGATCACCGGAACAGACACTACTTATTTAGACAGTAATTAAATTAATAATTGATGATGAATCAATCTGGAGCATACGTACCACCTATTGATGAAGACCTTGTCGTCTTCCCCGGAGATGATGAGATAGAGAGAAGCTAAGACGGAGATGATAAGAATCGGACCGCTGAAAATTAAGAACATGCTTCCTGCTAGCAATTGCGATATGAGTTGGAATTCTTTTTTGTGGGTAAATTAACCAAAGTATTTTGATGAAATGCAAACCTGTGACGCCGAAGAGAGTGTTGGAGGAGGCTGCTCTCCATTTGGTTAGCAATCCATCGCCGAGTTTTCCTGGATACATGAAAAGGAAAACAGCCCAACCAACGAAAATCACTGACATTACCACCTTCAAAACCCATTTCAGCACAACTGATGCTTGTGGTGATGACTCCTCCTTCTCCTTGTGTGACAAAAGAGGGGTTTCATGTTCATCCATCTTCTCAGTGCATGTAGTGATGAGAGGTGGCTCATCGGCCTTTAAAGAAAAGAGACGTTATTAATTAGCGAATTATATAATTTGATGAGGAGATAATATAATTAGGAGACAAAAAGGAAGAAATTTTGTCAACCATTCGAGGTTACATCATTCTCATTAATGAAAAGATTCCCTCCAACATCAATCCTAGTACACAATAAAAATAAAAATAAAAATAGTGGAGTAAAGGAGAAGAAGGCCATTTACATACATGTGAGCGTAACGTACTTGAGAGAGAGAGAGAGACAATTTTCATTTCCAACCACAATTCAAGAGAGCATAGATAAGATGATTTTCATGACAGACGTGCCTTTCACGGTGCTACACTAGTTTTTTTTATACTTAGTAGATGAGGACCACGAGCACATTTTAAGATCAATTTATTTATATCTTAATTATCATGTCCTAACTCTTATCATGCCGATCCAAAAACATATATAAGCAAAATTCAAATCATCTCTTAATAACAAATATAAAAATTATACTTTTTACCCATTATGAATATCTATTAATTATGTGATAAAATCGTAAAAACAATTCAAATATTATAGAGTTAAATAAATAAAAGTTATGTTGATAATCTCATTAAAAACCTATAAGAAAATATTTTATAACTATATTGTCAAACATTACATATAAATTCATGATTGATAAGTATATACTATTGATGTCAACTGGTTTTTTTCCTTTCATATTGGTCTATATTCGCTAACATTAAACATTCTTAAATCCTCCTACTACCGTCATTGGTTGTACATTTTTATTTTCAATGTAATATTCTATAAATATTCTTATAGAATTCTTTTTTTTAGCTTGGTTATACATATCTTAAATTTTTAAATTGAGATGTCCATATATTTTCAATTTTTTTTTGTTTTTCAATTTATATAATCTCTTTTGTTTTAATATTCAAAATTTTATAATGGAAAGTTATATTCTCTGTACTTTTTCTTTTTACAGTTTATATTTTCTCTAATTTTTTTATAATTCTTTTGGACTATTAGATTAAAACATTTCCCCTAATTATTTTTGACTACAGACTATATAAATTTTTCTATTTTTCTAGTTAGTTTTAGACTATTAGAATTATTCTTTATATTATTTGATTAGTTCTGTGATTATTATTTTGGGATGTAGTGGATCTCTCCGAGTTTGGTTGTTGGGACGACACCAGAATATGTAATCCCATCTTACGGGATCAGTCCCTATCGATACTAGGTTATGATTTTGTTTTGGGGAATCAACTAGCTTTTGCCTCCGAGAGATGTTATCTACTCTATAATAGGGTTTGTATTTTCCCATATGAGATGATTGTATCCTTGTTGGCTTGTTTCTCTGATTTAATATAACACTAGATTTTGACCCACATCAAGCGTGGGATTAAATAATTAAATATGTTTTTAATCGAATTTAATATTTAGACGTGTATTCTAATCTTTATAAACATACTAAAATGATATGCATTGTGCATAAATGTAATAAAGTTAAATTTTGATCAACCATAAATATATTTTATCTTTGTTATTTTAATTTCTCCCATCTATTAAAAATAATCATAAATTTTTGTTTTCGAATATTCTACTCTTGCGTTTGACTAGAATAAAAAAATCTAGTAATTATTGAAAAGAAAATAAGATATTATCAAATATCTAATATATTCCTTAAATAAAATTCTCTACATTAATTACCATATATTCGTTATATATATATATATTTTATTAATAATTTTTAATAATTTTTTTTAGGAAAAGAGTTCCTTAAAATCCTCTTATGATGACACATAGGATTTTCACATAGTGTCTCCTCTGTTAATATATAGAGGATTTGGCCGACCAAAAAAAACAAAAATTAAAAAACCAGAATGAATTATTTTATACTTAAA